TTTTTTTATACAAATTTATTACAAGAAAATATCATTAATATGTGTTCTTAAAAAAATTTATAAACAAAAGTTGAATATTTAACTATTAGGCAATTAACAGTCAAAATTAACAACAAAATGGATGGCATCCAATTAAAGATGACATTGAACAAAAAAAGGATAGTAAAGGGATGACATTTATGGTGTAAGAAAAGTATAAGGATGACATTGAACATTTCCTTAATAGAGAGATGATAATGAACATTTTTACAAAGTATGAGGACTATAATTGACTTTAACCCTAATTAAAATGCCTATTTACCCACCACAATCTCTGGGTGCCAAATCTTTTAAGAAGTCAAAAGTTGGAGAGTTCTCTTTCTACATTCCACAAAGGACTTGTCTCTTTTGAAAAGAAATTGATACGAAAGCGTTGTCCGTTTAAATTAGTTTATATATTGATATTTTTAAATATCATAATTAAATTTTTATAAATTAAACATTAATATTTTGTGATCATAATAATTTGGTGTATGGTTAAAATTACTCCATTACATACATATAGTGTTTTTTTAAGGGGAGATTCAGTATGATAGTGCACTATGTGACAACAAACAATTAATATTTACTTAAAATTTTTTTATTTATTTTAAAATTTAAATTTAAAACTTTTAATTTGAATCTTCAAACTTTCAACCTCCACGCAAATGCATAGCTATATATGATCATCCTGTTTATCCAGCCGAAGGGTTTGAGCTACATCATCAAGGGGCTGAATAATTTTGAGTTGAAGCAAAGATTTAAAAAATGAAAATAGGATAGACAAGACAGTCTAAATAAAGGTTAAGGCTTATTATGAAATAAAGGGAAGATGATAACAGAATAATAAAGCTTTCTAAACTTCTTCATCTCATATATATTTGTAAGTGTATATATAAACCAAAGGATAACAAGGGTTATATTGGTTATTAAATAGAATTAAGTAGTATTGTAAATACCCTAAACTAAAGCCATGAATGGTAAGTAAAAATTAGTTACAAATGCTAGATTGAAAATAAAGGTAGGAATATGAACAACAACATGTTGGTTCAAATGGAATGAGTTTAATTTATCTTCAATAAAATCTCGATTTCTTTTAAACAATATCTCAAATTTAAGTATTGTGAATGAAAAAAATAAACGTTCGAAGAACTTCTTCCTATATAGGTTTGATCCGACTCGACTTCGGATTAATCAAAATCTAATGTGATTTCTGAATATCAAGAGATTAGTATAAAAAAATAATAATAAAAATAAAGATGAAACATTCACCAATAAATAATTTTACAATAAAATCATATTATTAATATTTTTCTTAGAATTTTTTGTTTTATAAGTCAGACTATAAAAATAACCCATACCCCTAATATCAAGAAGATTTATCTGTTATTTAATAATTTATATTATACTATTTAAATTATATATATATATATTTTAAAGAGTACCACAGTTGCAATCCTATCTTATTAAAAACAGCACTACTTTAGGAAACGAAAAATATGAGACTGAATTATGGGACGAAAAGTCATGGCCATCAATGTGATGCGAGTCCGGCAGCAATAATAGCTAAGATTTTACTAACAAGGAGCTTGCGGTAGAATTGTTTTTTAGCAACTTAAAAATTTTAATTTATAATCAAAATTTAAAATTTAAAATTTTATATTGTGAAATAGTAAACTCTTTAATGTACAAAATAAAAAAAAATTAAAAAAAAAGCTAAGCTTTCTCGTCTCAGCCTTTCATCTTATATATATATATATATATATTACCTTGTATATCATTTTTCCTTTTTTTTTAATAATTATTTTAAAGACATATTTATTATATTTTCACTAATATTATATAAAATATTTTAATTAAATAATTAATAAATTTTAAAATATATATAAATTAATATTAAAAAATAAAAAGTGCCTATCAACCTTATCTCTTAAAGATTAGGAGGAAAATCATTCTAAAACTACGTCGTTTCAATAACTTTTTATTGAAAAAGACTAAATTACTTTATTTTTAAAATATGCATTAAGGTGATTTTTATTTTTTTTCTCTTATTTTTTTGAAAATAAGACAAACAAACATTAATCTCAAAAAAATATTTTATATATATATATATATATATTCTTAACTTTCGTAAAGATATTTACAACAAGAGTAAAAGAAACGGCAATCTAGAAAGTGAAATTTCAAGAACCCAATCAAATCCATGACAATCTTGACCAAACCCAAGAGTCAAGACCCACACACAACGAAATCTAGTATGGTTCCTTAATGGGGCACAAGGAAAAAGCCCAAAGATTTTGATGGGAACGACTTTTATCATTTGTAGAAATATTGGATATGATTTTGCCGGCCCAACACAATCCCCATCCTTTTCCGGCCAAAAAAATCTCCGTCTTTTACCGTCTTTTAAGTCCTCAATCTTCTCTAACTTTCCCCTTTCCCAAGCACTGTGAAAAAGTTCTTTAAAAAAAAAAAAAAGTACTGTGAAAAAAATGGAATATTTACCCTATTTACTTTAAAAGCTACTGTAATGGCGCATATTATGGAGGTAAGAATACAGAATCCAGGCCCCAGCAGGAGCGGAAGCATATATCTCTCGCCCATCCATGGTGGGAGTAGGAATGAGATTCTTCTTTGAAGAGGAAATGGAATCCTATGCAAGGTAGATGAAGTACTCAATATTGAAAGAGGCAAAGCAAGAAAACCAAGGAAAATGTGGTTTTTGTGTACCTTTCTTTCTTTTCAATTGATAGAACGATTGCTCCTCGTGGTGGGATTTATGATTGAGGAGACTAATGGACCCATAAAAATGGAAGTGTAGTGTTCAATTCAATGCACGTTTATCAAATTTGATGCAATGATTTCTCTTCCAATTCCAACAGTCTCTCTTTTATCAATAAAATCAAAGATTGAAAATGTATATGTCAAGGATTGAAAAAAGAATTCATTAAAAATTACATATTCCGTGCCCTCTAAGTCACAATGAATTCACTTTTTCTTTGATTTGAAGTTGAAATTTCATCAATGTTTGGGGCAACCTTCATGTTTGTGGCAGCTTTATTACTACAATTAAAAAAAAGGGGAAATGCTAAAAGGAGAAGGATAATTTGTGATGTGATATGGGTGTGGGCTATTCCAGTGTGAAGAAGGGCAAAATCTTGAGTGAGTCCATACGAAATGGACTTATTTGGTCCCCCACGAGGGCTGCCTGTCCCTTTGATGGCAACTTTGATTTCATTCTTAGCTATATCGCTATACGACGTGGGCCTTCTAGATAAGGTTCTGGAGATCTTCTAATGGACTGGATTAATGGCAAACAGACACCTAAAACCATCCCCCCTCGATACATGTCTTATTCAAAAATCCAGTTAGTGTTTGATCTTGGTACATCATTGTCTTCTGATGGTAGAAAATTTTTCCCTCGTTATTAAAATAAAAGCTAGATTTACCGATTAAGTAAATGTTTGTGTTATAAGTGAAATTCATGATTCAAGTTTTGGGTTAATACCTTAGGGCCTATTTGGTTTAACTTGTGGAAGTTTTTACTTTTTGAGTACTGTTATAAGTGATAAGTTTAAATTTTTATTGAAAAGAAAATTGAAAAATTGCTTTTAGAAATATAAAAAAGTTAGTGAAAAATGAGTAAAAAAGGAGTTTATGAAAAGTTTAGATTTGAAAATTTTAAACTTTTACTGTTTAGAATCTTTTTAAGGTTAAAAAAAAGTTTAAAAATGTAAGTTTTTAAAAGAGAAATTTAAATTTATGAAACATGAATAATATCAAAAAGCTGAAGCTCCAGCTCACCCAAATATGGCTTTAATTTCTCTTAATAAACATTACAATATAAGAGTTTCATGTTTTATAGTGCAATTTATTTAAATTGCAAAATAAAAACCATTAAACGAAAGGATAACTCTCAATATCAAGAATTTTATTTTTTCTTTAATAATTTAAATTATACAAATTATATTATATTATATTATACAACACTTTTTTTTTTTACAATATATCATGAGTAGTTGACAATATAATATTTAACTCATATATAAAAATCAACTACTCATATATATATATATATATCGTTGGAAATAAGAATATATATGAATAATTTTCTTTTGAGTAATGATAGAAAGAACAAAAATTTAGGGTAGAAATTTAGGATTAATAGTGTGATATATATTATATTATTAAATTAATTAATATATATAATATTATAGGTTTAAAAAAATAAAAAGAATCAATTATTAAATAATATAAAATTTATATTTTAATATTTTTAACAACATAATTTATATCATATTATTTATCTTAAATTTTAATTTTAAATTTTTTGTCTCATTTATCATCATTCTTTTTTCTTTTTTTTTTTTCTAAAACAATTTGTGAGTAATGGCAAAGAGAAAGCCAAAGATATCGAAATCAAGTGTGGAACTACCCACAATTTTGTCCAAACAAAATCCAAGGTCGTCGCCCGTAGAACGCGCTAACTCCAAATTAGGAGTACTAATAATGCAAACACCCATCCTCAATAGATAGGT